ACTTCCTAATGAAATTATTATTATTATAATCAAAAATAAAAAAAAAAAAAAAAAGCGCTAAGCCACAAGGACTATACAGCGCTCCTAATGAAATAAAATACGAGTGCATTATAGTTAATATTTTGCCACTATTATATAACTATGTATGTGATGTCTTGTATCTTCTAGGATTTAACTGACAAATAGAATCATTCCTATATAATTTACAAGTGCTGTATGACCCTATATTATCATAATCATAACCAAGTGCTAAACCCATAAGGGTCATACAGTTCTGGTATGACCCTATAGGTTTTGCACTTTCCATGAATATAATGATAATTTCTAAATACTTTACTATTCTTATACCCAGAATAGCTTTTAAAATTTATAAAAAAAAAAAAAATAAAAAGGTATGTACTGAAGGGTTCCAAAAGTAAATCTGGTTATTGTTTTAAGTGCACTTACAACCTTAGTGTACATCGTAAGGCACATGTGTGTGACCCTCCTGATAAAAATTCATCCTTTTATAGAGTTAGTCAGTTGAATTTCAAACTTTGTCATCTAATTTGATGAGTGTTTGTCTTTAATATAAAGTTCCTTTACTTTATCTCTGCTTCCATGACAGGTTAAAATTTATTGAGCAGTCATTTATGTCTCATTAACAGTAAATTTCTAGGCACTTGTCTTATACAGTTTCAGGTGTACTATAAAAATAATCTCTATTAATACTTTCAACTACATTGCCTCATTGGTTTTAAAATTCTTATATGCAACACTTATGAGTAAAAGATCAATTCATACCTTAATTATATGAACACATCAGGTTAATTTATATTATATTTGTGGGAAGTGCTAAACCCATAAGGGTCATACAGCATCTGGGAAATAAGGAATTGGAGGCAATCAGGTTTGATTCAAGAAAGTGCTCAGCTCCAATTCCCTGAATTTAGAGCCCTTCACTGGCTTCAAGACACCCCTTGAAGGACACGTCAGGTTAAAATTACAATAATTGTTTGTTAGGCACCACAACAGCTGATGTACTGAAGTGGTAACACAACAACCAACAGTTGATGCACTGAAGTACAAATGCTGTGTGGAAAATTATCTTGTCAAGCCAAGTATACTTTCACCTTAGTGAATTCTGTAAGCAGAAGGAAAGTGGCAGTGTGGACAAACAGTACGTTCAGTTCATTATCTCCAGGACAAATGCAGCAGCATGATGCTTGTAATTTTGTAACTGCTGAACCATTTTCATGACTAATCCATTGAAGATATGGAAAGCAGTGACTGCTGAAATACACAAAAAAATTGTCCTTGGAAAGTTTTTTTCTATTCTAATAGCAGAAATGTAACACCCTAAATATTGAGAAAAATTTAAAAAATTTCAATCAACTAATTCATTTTGGGATAATTTTTAATTTAATGTGGGGAAAGGTAGGTAGACAGCAACCACCCAGGGAAGTACTACCGTCCTGCCAGATGACTGTGAAACAAAAACCTGTAACTGTTTTGCATGATGGTAGGATTGCTGGTTTCTTTTTCTGTCTCATAAACACGCTAAGATAACAGGGATATCTTGCTACTCCTACTTACACTTTGGTCACACTTCACAGACACGCACATGCATATATATATATACATACATCTAGGTTTTTCTCCTTTTTCTAAATAGCTCTTGTTCTTTTTTATTTCTTCTATTGTCCATGGGGAAGTGGAAAAGAATCTTTCCTCCGTAAGCCATGCGTGTCGTATGAGGCGACTAAAATGCCGGGAGCAATGGCTAGTAACCCCTTCTCCTGTATACAATTACTAAAAAAGAGAAGAAGAAAAACTTTATAAAACTGGTTGCTTAAATGTGCGTGGATGTAGTGCGGATGACAAGAAACAGATGATTGCTGATGTTATGAATGAAAAGAAGTTGGATGTCCTGGCCCTAAGCGAAACAAAGCTGAAGGGGTAGGAGAGTTTCAGTGGGGGGAAATAAATGGGATTAAATCTGGAGTATCTGAGAGAGTTAGAGCAAAGGAAGGGTAGCAGTAATGTTAAATGATCAGTTATGGAAGGAGAAAAGAGAATATGAATGTGTAAATTCAAGAATTATGTGGATTAAAGTAAAGGTTGGATGCGAGAAGTGGGTCATAATAAGCGTGTATGCACCTGAGAAGAGAGGAATGCAGAGGAGAGAGAGAGATTTTGGGAGATGTTAAGTGAATGTATAGGAGCCTTTGAACCAAGTGAGAGAGTAATTGTGGTAGGGGACTTGAATGCTAAAGTAGGAGAAACTTTTAGAGAGGGTGTGGTAGGTAAGTTTGGGGTGCCAGGTGTAAATGATAATGGGAGCCCTTTGATTGAACTTTGTATAGAAAGGGGTTTAGTTATAGGTAATACATATTTTAAGAAAAAGAGGATAAATAAGTATACACGATATGATGTAGGGCGAAATGACAGTAGTTTTTTTGGATTATGTATTGGTAGATAAAAGACTGTTGAGTAGACTTCAGGATGTACATGTTTATAGAGGGGCCACAGATATATCAGATCACTTTCTAGTTGTAGCTACACTGAGAGTAAAAGGTAGATGGGATACAAGGAGAATAGAAGCATCAGGGAAGAGAGAGGTGAAGGTTTATAAACTAAAAGAGGAGGCAGTTAGGGTAAGATATAAACAGCTATTGGAGGATAGATGGGCTAATGAGAGCATAGGCAAGGGGTCGAAGAGGTAGGGGGTAGGTTTAAAAATGTATGTTAGAGTTTCAGCAGAAGTTGTGGTTACAGGAAAGTGGGTGCAGGAGGGAAGAGGAGCGATTGGTGGAATGTGATAAAGAGAGTAGTAAGGGAGAAAAAAATTAGCATATGAGAAGTTTTTACAAAGTAAAAAGTGATGCAAGGAGGGGAAAAGGTATTGGAGAAAAAGAGAGAAGTTAAGAGAGTGGGGAAGCAATGTAAAAGAGAGCAAATGAGAGAGTGGGTGAGATGTTATCAACAAATTTTGTTGAAAATAAGAAAAAGTTTTTTGGGGTGAGATTAACAAGTTAAGAAAGCCTAGAGAACAAATGGATTTTTTCAGTTAAAAATAGGGGAGGAGAGTTATTAAATGGAGAGTTAGAGGTATTGGGAAGATGGAAGGAATATTTTGAGGAATTGTTAAATGTTGATGAAGATAGGGAAGCTGTGATTTCGTGTATAGGGCAAGGAGGAATAACATCTTGTAGGAGTGAGGAAGGGCCCGTTGTGAGTGTGGGGAAGTTCGGAGGGAGTAGGTAAAAAGAAAGGGGGTAAGGCAGCCGGGATTGATGGGGTAAAGATAGAAATGTTAAAAGCAGGTGGGGATATAGTTTTGGAGTGGTTGGTGCAATTATTTAATAAATGTATGGAAGAAGGTAAGGTACCTAGGGATTGGCAGAGAGCATGCATAGTTCCTTTTTATAAAGGCAAAGGGGGTAAAGAGAGTGCAAAAATTATAGGGGGATAAGTCTGTTGAGTGTACCTGGTAAAGTGTATGGTAGAGTATAATTGAAAGAATTAAGAGTAAGACGGAGAATAGGATAGCAGATGAACAAGGAGGCTTTAGGAAAGGTAGGGGGTGTGTGGACCAGGTGTTTTACAGTGAAACATATAAGTGAACAGTATTTAGATAAGGCTAAAGAGGTCTTTGTGGCATTTATGGATTTGGAAAAGGCGTATGACAGGGTGGATAGGGGGGCAATGTGGCAGATGTTGCAAGTGTATGGTGTAGGAGGTAGGTTACTGAAAGCAGTGAAGAGTTTTTACGAGGATAGTGAGGCTCAAGTTAGAGTATGTAGGAAAGAGGGAAATTTTTTTCCCAGTAAAAGTAGGCCTTAGACAAGGATGTGTGATGTCACCGTGGTTGTTTAATATATTTATAGATGGGGTTGTAAGAGAAGTAAATGCGAGGGTCTTGGCAAGAGGCGTGGAGTTAAAAGATAAAGAATCACACACAAAGTGGGAGTTGTCACAGCTGCTCTTTGCTGATGACACTGTGCTCTTGGGAGATTCTGAAGAGAAGTTGCAGAGATTGGTGGATGAATTTGGTAGGTGTGCAAAAGAAGAAAATTAAAGGTGAATACAGGAAAGAGTAAGGTTATGAGGATAACAAAAAGATTAGGTGATGAAGATTGAATATCAGATTGGAGGGAGAGAGTATGGAGGAGGTGAACGTATTCAGATATTTGGGAGTGGACGTGTCAGCAGATGGGTCTATGAAAGATGAGGTGAATCATAGAATTGATGAGGAAAAGAGTGAGTGGTGCACTTAGGAGTCTGTGGAGACAAAGAACTTTGTCCTTGGAGGCAAAGAGGGGAATGTATGAGAGTATAGTTTTACAACGCTCTTATATGGGTTGTGAAGCGTGGGTGATGAATGTTGCAGCGAGGAGAAGGCTGGAGGCAGTGGAGATGTCATGTCTGAGGGCAATGTGTGGTGTGAATATAATGCAGAGAATTCGTAGTTTGGAAGTTAGGAGGAGGTGCGGGATTACCAAAAAACTGTTGTCCAGAGGGCTGAGGAAGGGTTGTTGAGGTGGTTCGGACATGTAGAGAGAATGGAGCGAAACAGAAATGACTTCAAGAGTGTATCAGTCTGTAGTGGAGGAAGGGGCGGTAGGGGTCGGCCTAGAAGGGTTGGAGGGAGGGGTAAAGGGGGTTTTGTGTGCGAGGGGCTTGGACTTCCAGCAGGCATGCGTGAGCGTGTTTGATAGGAGTGAATGGAGACAAATGGTTTTTAATACTTGACGTGCTGTTGGAGTGTGAGCAAAGTAACATTTATGAAGGGATTCAGGGAAACCGGCAGGCCGGACTTGAGTCCTGGAGATGGGAAGTACAGTGCCTGCACTCTGAAGGAGGGGTGTTAATGTTGCAGTTTAAAAACTGTAGTGTAAAGCACCCTTCTGGCAAGACAGTGATGGAGTGAATGATGGTGAAAGTTTTTCTTTTTCGGGCCACCCTGCCTTGGTGGGAATCGGCCGGTGTGATAATAAAATAAAAATAAAAATAAAGGTAGTAACACAATATGACCAATATCCATTTAGTATTTCTTATTTAACCCTTAAACTGTCCAAACGTAGATCTAAGTTTCTTTTTACATGCTTTCAAATGGGGAAAATCAAGGTCGGAGCGCTATGCACATGAACATAGATCTACGTTTGGACAGTTTAAGGGTTAATAATAATATGAAAAATTTGAAACTGATGATTTGGTATACTCTCTTAATATAAATAGTTACTACAAAATGATTTTTCAGCATAATACTAAGAGTATTAAAAAAAAAAAAAAGCAAGCACTGGTTATTAAAAATGCAAACTAAGTGATATGAACTGTTCTAGGTGATGTATGGTAAGTGGATTTTGATCATATCTATGCAAAACAGAAAGACTTGCCAGTTGAATAGAACCAGTCCTCAAACTGGGGCATTTTTTTTTTTTCCAAAGTGCTTTTGCCCTTATTTGAAAGTGTCTACTGTATACATTTTTTAAAGATAATTTATTTTAATTTTCAGAAATATACTGTATATGATAGCTTCATATCTGAAAGGTTGCTTTTGTATACAGTAACTCTTTAATTATTGCAAAATCAAAATGACATTTTGTACTAACACTATTTAAAAGTGCAAAAAATATCATAGCATGCTATAATGCTTTGTATTATGTACCATAAACCCTAAAAAAAAAAAAAAAAAGCATGACAGGTTAGATGCAAAATTGGTACTACATGCCACCATTTCACAATCTGCTTGTTTAGCACTGTATTGGATCTTTTCATCACCCCTTCTTCTACTAACCTTGGTACCCAAGACGAATACTAGTGATGTTGGAGGTACCAAGAGGCATGACTATGAAGCTCTGACAGTACTGAGGAAAGTGGAAATTTTAGGTATGCTACAAGGTGGCATGTGTGATGCAAACTGCCTGCACTTTTGGTGTAAAAATCCACTGTCCATACAATGTCAGTGATCAGGTAATAAGAACTTGTGCAAAGTGCAGTACAAATTGTAACCTGGAGAGAATGTTAAAGATAAAAGAAAAAGAAGCTACTTAATGTGTGGGTTAAAGAAAAAAAAAAAAGGAATGGGGGCTGCCATACAGTGCTATGATACTGACCTCTCCTGGAGCAAACCTGATTGCTTCCATTCCTCCAGATGCTGTATGACCCCTACAGGTTTAGTGCCCCTCCTACCCCATGAATGTAATACTAGTGCTCAGATAATAAAGAACAAAGCCCTGCCTATAAAATTGTGCAAGGAGGATGGAGAATCTTGACAACAGTGCATGTTTAATGCTGGATGGTTTGAAATCAGCTTTTATCATTATCTTTACAAAGTACTGTACCAGAGATTCATTACAGAGTGCTTGAGTACAACAGCTACTGAAAAATCTGCATCTACCCCAAGAACCACAATCGTCCATCTTAGCCTTGCAGGGCCAAATCAATCCTCTCCATACTTCCATGTTAACCAAGTAACTATAATTAGAATTCAACAAGATAAATTTTTATTTTTGGGGGGCAAATCTGGGGGGCTCTGGAATGTAACCTTATGTTTTCCAAATGTTCTTCATTCACATCCCACTAATTTCCACAAACTTATCCATGCACTATGAGAGGATTTATTCTACACTATTCATACAGAATATCATAGACTCTTAGTAATAATAAAACTATTAATCCTTACATACAATAAGGGTGTACCCTTATCATTTCAGTATAGTTTAGTGGTGAGGATAAGTATACTGTACATACCAGTAGTTTCAAAAGTATAATAGCTATACAGTACTGTATATATTTCCTCACAGAAAGTACTTTTATGCCAGGAAGGAAAAAGGGCTCTCAATTTTTAAAGGGGCAAATTGGTAAGCCAGTGGAAGGTCTTGGTCAAATGACCAAAAACTCCAGTGGCAGATCATCATATGACTAAGACCCGCATCAGGAAACACTTCTCTTTCCTGACAAATCTCCTAACCCCCAACTTTTATCTAAAGAATTAAAACCATCCTCTAATTGCATGGATCAAACCTGTTTGCCTTCTATTCTCTAGGCACCATATGACCCTATGAGTCTAACACTTCCCTATGATTATAATAATAATGTACTATATGTTTAACAACCATATGTAAAACAAGCTTCACAAGAGAACTTTACTGTGAAGTTAAATGTTTACAGCCTTTCTTCACTTAGCGACATACTCATTTACCGACGCCTCGGACTTACGACGGGCTCTCTGACCATTATTTATACCTAAATAATGTATATTAGAGCTGATTTCCTCAATTCTGTTTACTACAATATACAGTGCACTGCAGTATAAACATTTAAAAATATACTAGAAATGTTATAAATGGTGTAAAGGTGACATTAAAACAATATCAAAGATGGTTGACAAAAATCCACTACCATTATAGTATGCTCCTTGTTTAGCAACAAATTCATTTACCAAGAGGGTCTTAGGTCCCTATCTCCACCGTTAAGTGAGGAGAGGCTGTATACTAAATATAGCAGCACTGAATGACCCATAAGGGTTTAACATTTTTTTGTGAATGTTTTTGATAATTATGAATATAGTAATATACCAAATATATATTTTCTTATGTTTCCAATAACTTTGCACAAATATTTAATGTATATTCAAATTTTACACATACAGTAGAACCCCCATATTCACTGATTTGGTATCCATGGTTTACTCTTAATTTTGTATAATAATGGCCCCAGAGAGCAAAAGTAGAAAGCCTGGCAGTTCTTCAAAACCTAAGAGAAGCCAAGAAGCACTTCCTATCAGTGAATAAGTGATAATTCTCCACTTATTGTGCATAACTTATCAATTAAACTTTATAATAGGTATGTATAAGACTTGTATATAGGGTTGGCTACTAACCACGGTTTCGGTATCCACGGCAGGTCCTTGGAACACACATCCTGCGGATGCAGGGGTCTTACCATACTTCAAAACTAATTTGAATTTTAAGCACAGATATTACTTGGCAATTCCAAAGAACAAGATCAATAAAAACATATTCTGTAGCATATATAGTATATGAGCAGTCACACACGTGTACAAGAAATGTTACTATATATATAAATGTCATTCACTTTATGTTTGCAGTCTTATGATTATGTAGTAGAGTGGATAGAAGGTCTGCGACTGTTCCACATCCCAGCTGGAATCTTATGTGGTTCATTGATTCTGGTACAGTAATTAGCATGCAGGTTTGGGAATTCTTAAGCTCTCAGCTTTAATTCGAGCTAGTGTACTTTAAACATTGCAATTTAATGAAAAAAGTAAAGAATTTTGAAAAATGATATAGTTACACCAACACCTGACCAAACATGGCCACCATTTTTTTTTTCTGGAACAGGGGCATTATAAAATGAAAAAAAAAACAAGCACATGTTAATTAATCTGTTTCTGACAGTTATAAGTTTGTATCCAGTGAATGAAATACTGTACTGAGTACTCTTGGCATATACAGCATAAAAGTTCCTGGGAAATACAGTATTAATAGTTACAGTCAGTCTTTTAATGTACTGAATTCATTATAGTATTTAATCATGATACTATTAATAAAAGTGTTAAAATATTTTTTTACATTTTTGTCGAAAATTTTAAGCAGATAACCAACACTTTTAAGAAAATGCCTTAATATATATACAGTAATTAAAAATACATATTTTCATATGAATACAAGGTACAATATAGCTGGAACTACCATTATATTCATAAATAAAAAAATATATAGATACACTAAAATGAGTATTGGCTGCAGTATGCTGCTGCACAGAACACTGTCAAGATTTTCTGTATTGATATGACAATGCCTTGAGATCACTATCTTGGCTTAATGCACTTAACTGTGATATTAGAAATCACCATCTAATCAAACAAGGCAGATATTCTGTGAAGATATCTGCCTAGGATAAGATTTCAAAGCATCTCCACAAATTATCTAACAATCATGACAAGTCAGGCTGTATATAGATGTACAGTATTCACAAAAATTATCTTAAACTTACAGTTCATCTTCTTTTCTAATTCATATATATTATTATTTCTGTTGGACATAGTCCTTTACTGCAAGTTGCTCATGATTAAAGACACTTAACGCTTTCCATGATAAACAAAAACTGGAAGATCAACATCTAGAGTCAGTGAAATCTGCAGTTCATGTTTATATATTTCAGTTTATGCCTTTGATTTGCAATTTCATGACTTTGACCCCTTATTAATACAATAAGTCAGTCAAGTTTCAAACAATAACACAATTTTTTTTGTTCTTTTTAGCAGCAGGTTTTGCAGGAGGTCGCTCAGCTGCCTGGAACTTACGCACTATTCTCACAAGTTCATAGAACGACTGATCCAAATTTGTGCGACTCTTAGTGAACATTCGATGTATGGATCTTTAGTTGCCGGGCCACAGTGTGTGCTTCTTCAGTACTTATCTGCAAAGTAAAATTTATCCTATCAGCTACAATTTACTGTTAAAAAGTCATCAAATTTTTTTTCATGTAGATATTATCACATGTACATGTCTAAAAATAAGTGAAACTAGTTTCTTTATATTGTGGCCACAACACAGACTTTGGCATCTGATTCCTCAGAAAGCTGGAATCTTTGTTTTGGTGCTCTGAAAATGATATGGCCATTCATTTCAGAGGGGGGAGGAAAGATGGTGACCAATAAAGTTCCACAGAAGGTCAATTTGGGCCCCATATTATTACAAGTGTATGTTAATTACCTGTTTCCAGGTTATTAATATACAACTGTAATATACACTTACATGTATCTTTGTGGATGATGCCAAAATAATGAGAATACAAACTGAAAAGGAGCAAAGAAGACTGCAGGAAAACTTCGATAATATTCAAAATGGTCAAATAAATAGTTACTGAATTTTAACCTGAGAAAAAACAATATTATGGAGATGGGGTAAGGAGATCACTGATAAGAGTATCATCTGAGGAAAAGAGGAAAGGCTTACAGAAAATTAAGAAAGACCTAGGAAAACTCATTACTCAAAACCTGTTCCTTAGCCTTGATCAATCATATTGATCAAGGCTAAGGAACAGAACACCTATCAAGGCTGAGGGACTTATTACCCCATCTTCCATTGTCTCCAATATGTAATGTCTGTACTGAATTGAAAAAAAAAAAAACACTGGTTGATGAAACATCATAATAAAGATAACTAGGTGCTACACATGTATCTTATTCATCAATCTGTTTGAATTATAAATTATTAATGTAACGCCTTTGGCTCATAACTGAGGAACCTGGCTTTAATCTGGAAATGAGTATAAACGTTGGGTATGTTTACATACCACCTAGCAGTAAGACCTGGGTGCTATCAGATTGTTGTGGGTCATCCTGGGGAAGAAGATTACAGACTAATAAACCACAATAAATAATTAGTTGTCTTGGATTATCTATTAACACTCTGGTTTAATAACCCCTCAATATACACTTTTACCTCATGTGTGTAGGTAGTAGGTTGGTAGACAGCAACTGCCCAGGGAGGTACTACTGTCCTGCCAAGTGAGTGTACAACAGAAACCTGTAATTGTTTTACATGATGGTGGGATTGCTTGTGTCTTTTTTCTGTCTCATAAACATGCAAGATCCTAGGTAGTAGGTTGGTAGACAGCAACCACCCAGGGAGGTACTACCATCCTGCCAAGTGAGTGTAAAATGAAAGCCTGTAATTGTTTTACATGATGGTAGGATTGCTGGTGTCCATTTTTGTCTCAATGAACATGCAAGGTTTCAGGCAAGTCTTGCTACTTCTACTTACACTTAGGTCACACTACACATACATGTACAAGCATATATATACACACCCCTCTGGGTTTTCTTCTATTTTCTTACTAGTTCTCATTTATTTCCTCTTATCTCCATGGGGAAGTGGAACAGAATTCTTCCTCCGTAAGCTATGCGTGTTGTAAGAGGCAACTAAAATGCCGGGAGCAAGGAGCTAGTAACCCCTTCTCCTGTATAAATTACTAAATGTAAAAAGAGACTTTCGTTTTTCTTTTTGGGCCACCATGCCTCGGTGGGATACGGCTGTTTTGTTGAAAGAAACGTGCAAGATTTCAGGTACGTCTTGCTACTTCTACTTACACTTAGGTCACACAACACATACATGTACAAGCATATATATACACACCCCTCTGGGTTTTCTTCTATTTTCTTTCTAGTTCTTGTCTATTTCCTCATATCTCCATGGGGAAGTGGAACAGAATTCTTCCTCCGTAAGCCATGCGTGTCGTAAGAGGCGACTAAAATGCCGGGAGCAAGGGCCTGGTAACCCCTTCTCCTGTATAAATTACTAAATTTAAAAAGAGAAACTTTTGTTTTTCTTTTTGGGCTACCCTGCCTCAGTGGGATATAGTCGGTTTGTTAAAAAAAAAAAAAAAAAACTCATGTGTGACCCAGTGCTAGCATAGAACCCTCAGACAGTGGAACAATGCAAAACTTATTGAGTCTATTGGAGTGAATCCAGACAGGTGTTTGAGCTGTGAAGGATCAGTCATTTAGAAAGAATGAAAAAACTAATGACACTGAGGGAATCCTGATCCAAGGAAATGGACCCACCCTTCCATTCCTTGACTGAACCTGATTGCCTCGTATTCCCCCAGTTGCTTTACAACCCCCAATGGTTGACCTTCCCTCACATGAAGAACAAGAAAAAACAGAATATAGAAGCATATATAGGATAGACTTTACTGGAGAAATAATAGGGATACGAGCACACAATTGTAAATTACATTCCTAAATGAACATTATTATAATTATAATCAGTGCTAAACCCATAAGGGTCATACAGCACTGCTCCTCAATGAACAATGTATACCAGACAAGATTCTTGTAACAAAAGTGTGCAATGAACCAAGCAATGACTACGTGGAAGCAAACTACATACAGGATATATTGTATATGATAGTTATTTCACTTTTGTCAATCGAAAGCTATAGTTCACCCGTATCTCTCCCCCTTCAAAAAACAAAAATAGACAAAAGAACATTCTCAATTATTACTTTTGAGGCTGTACTCAAGTCAAAAATAGTACAGTACATACAAACACATTATCCAATCAGACATGAAAGGGAAATTTGTGTGCCTTGCTTGAATACCCAGTTTAATCTGACAGAACTGATAATTAAACACTTGACATGATCTTTCAAGATTATATACAGTAACCTATTTGTGGAGACAATGGCAAGCTGCCAACATTTGGTAACAAAGACAAGACTGTAGTGAAGACTATTTTTGTCCTGCCCAATGCTGCACCAAACACTGAACTTTTTTTGGACATACATAGCAGACATGGGAAACAATGGCTTCAATAGTTCACAAGGAGTGATGTCATTGGTCAGGTGCCATGTGCTTGGGTGAAAGTAAAACTTAGTGCAGAAGGCAACATACTGGCTCATGTTCAATTATGTTTTAAAATGGTATGCACAATGGGAATTGACAAAGTCAATATCCCAGTGTTTTGTTGGTTGGTTTAATAACTGATGATTCTAGCCAACTTCTCAGTTTGTTCCATGCCTTGAAAGTGTGAATGCAAGTTGCAGTGTAGTATACAAGAATTATTGGTATTCTCTATTCTAAGAGCAAACTTGTGTTCCTATACAAGTGAACATTGGCTGTCTCACCAATGTACACTTGGTCACAATGACCACAGGGAATTCTGTACACCCCTGCATTTTTGGATCTGGTATATGATGTCAAGATCCTCGTGAAATTGTACATGATCATTGTAGTAACTACTACGACTTCAATGATGGATCTCCAAAGGCTGTGGGATACAGTGTCTTGGACAGTACCTGTGAGTAATATGCATCTCCATATACACTGTTTTTCTGACTCTTGGCATTTCAGTGTACGTCTTCAGCTTTACGTTTGCTGAGGAGAATCATATGCAAATTTAATGCTTGTGAATGCATTCTTTATGTAGTTAGATTCCTTTTCCAGGTAGTATTCCTTACTGCAGATTCTCGATGCCTGCAGGAAGAACCTGATCAATACAGTTTTCTTGGGTTTTTTACAAAGATGAAAAAAGGAATGGATAAGGTTATCTTTATTAGTAGATTTATGATATACTGCTCTTCTCAGGACTACATCATCTTTAACAAGTCTGACATCAAGAAAGGTAGGGTATCATTCACAGTTCCAGGGTGAATTCAATGGATGGGTCCACTTAGCTAAGACACTCAAGGTGTTGAAATAGGTTGAACCATTTGGGTACAATGACTAGAGTATCATTTACTTACTTTATACAGGTGGTGTTTGGTGGTATGTCACAAAACTGGTCCTCCAGATGTTATATGTACATATCTGCCCAGACAGGGGTGATCACACTGCTAATCCTAACTTCTGTTTCTAGTCTGAATTTGATAAAACTGAAGCATGCTTCAATTATATCAATAAAATTAGATTAGCAGTGAAAAGATAAACTTAGAGGTGTTCTGGCTCCATAGTAAGGAGATGACCTGATCATTAGGTACCCTTGTGAACAGTGAAGTTGCATCCAAATTGGTCATTTTTTTGTTTCTAACACTGGTGAGAGAATAAGAAGGCTACAAGTCCATCTACAGGAACACAGGTATGCTCTTAGAACAGATAATATCTGTGTATAGCATCACAACTTACACTGACACCTGGTGACATGGAACAAAGTTGAGCTACTGTACTAGGAATACAACAAACTGAGTAGATGCCTGGAATCATCACTTATCACCAGTCGTGTCAAAATGACCACCTGTACTCTGCTACAAAATTTAGGTTTAGTAGCACAAGATTAGCAAAAGTGACATGCAAGCCATAAGTAACACTACTGGGAGTTAGTGTGCATGTTGTACTAACATTAATGTAATGATTTTAAGGAACTTGTTATCCTTGGTTCTAAATATATACAGTATGCTATTGACAAATTCAAGAAATATTTATAATTCTAAAGGCATTGTTCAAAGTGACTATGTTGCTTCAATGCAGCTACACAACCTTTTTCACATTCTTATACAGTATTAAATTTACTTACCACTCTTTGGTGTTCTAAGTCTGCTTTGTTGGCCACCATCAACATGGGAAATTCATCACGGTCTTTCACCCGGAGAATCTGCTTATGGAAACGTGGCAGCTCATCAAAGCTATTGCGGTCAGTAACGGAGAAGACCAGCAGGAAACCTTCACCTGAACGCATGTACTGCTCTCTCATAGCACTAAATTCTTCTTGTCCAGCAGTATCCAGAACTGTAATACGAAAATTATTCTTAGATCTTGATAAATTATCTAAAACAAAGTCCAGTAATGATATATCTTAAGCATTTCTAGCATGGAGGAGAAGGAAAATGTGTAGCTTAATCTTACTGATGTCTTACCGATGATAAACTTTCAGTATTGTATAATCTTGAAGTTTATGTTTCTTACAGACCTATGGCTTGCTATGAAAGGAAGAATCCATTAGCTTTATAGAGAGCTGCCACACATCACTGAACTCTGTGCTCAGTGATTCATTCAACACACGAGGCTAACAACACAAGCCCGTTCACATTCTTTACGACAGGATAATGACCCAAGTGCAGCAGACAAACTTAAAATTAACTGAGAATGGACATCAAACTTTACTCACATTTATCAAATCAACTAATCCGACGTTTGCTAAAAAGAGATGCTAAAGAGTCCTCTATCTGCACAACGTTTTACTTAACAATGGACTTGAAAAGGCTCAGTGTTAGGTGAAATGTTGTACAAATAAAGAGCTATGCATTTGTCTTGTTCATCAACTGTCGCCATACACTGGTACTCCCAGCACTTGATTATCCCTACAAGTTTTACACTTTTCATGAATATAATAATCTAATCTATTGGGGTTAAACAATCATAAGTTATTGACATATAGGCCATACACACTACCCATTCTTCCATATGTACGGTGTATATTTTTTTTAATCATAGATAATCTTTAAATCCGTAAGTTATATAGCACCTGGGTTATGACTTCAAGTTCGATCCAAAGAAGGGCAGGATACGTCCAGTTCTTTGAGTCAAGAGCCTCTCACTGGTATCAGAGCACCCCCCCCCCCTTAGAGATTTCCTAATTTGAATAAACTGCAAACCAATGCAAAAATGGCAATACTCTAGATCGCAGCAACATCACTGAAAATCTAAACTGCTAAACTAGTACAAATACTAGGTATCATATATCAATATCAACAAAGTGTGGGAATAAAGGCACCTCTGTAACACCTTGGGACATGACAGAGGTCAGTGAACTAAGTGGGTTGTTTTTCATGTGGGTACGTGAGTCGCCTGACATAGTGTCCACCTTGTTTGCTGTTAACAGAATTGTAATTCATACCTAATATACTAAAACTTTCAGAGCTCTTGAGTCACTGTGATCAGGGTTGCCTCGAGACAACGTTGCTTCTCGAGATTCTTCTTCTTTAAAACCAATTTGGCTTCTTTCCATATGCCCTTGCCCATTATGATGGTTCATTTGTTTTTCTGGCTGTCATTGTTAGCATCAAAAGCCTGACGAGGTCATCAACTGGGAGGCTTGTTCTGGGAAAGGTCGGGTGGGTGGTGACTCTAAAAATCATCTTCAGGTAACCTTCAGGTATACGTGCGTTCTTCCACTCGCTGGCCTAGACTTGTGGCAGTCTCGCCCACGTACACCTTATTGCATCCCCAGCATGCGATTTACAGTGTGATTCATTTAAAGCACATGGGCACATGAAGAAATGGAACAATTTTCAGACGTATTTTCTCAAGGTAGCCATGATGGCAGTATCCGATATGGTGACCCAGAAATAATTCTGACCCACCCCATGCTATGCGAATTGACGATTCGTGCACTGGCACCTGACTTAACCGGACCTCACCCCAACTTAATTTCTCTTACCTCTCTCCACTATATACTTCCAGGTTATGTACTGGACTGATACAGCCCCCCCCCCCAAGTGGGCGAAACATCTATTAAAATAAGTACTAAATGTTTTATGTCAATTACTAGGCAAATGAATTAGCTTTCCACAAAACTACTTGCAATTCATATCTTGCAAGAAGCACTGACTAACCCAACTGAGATTATTGTGAATATGTAACTGTATTCCTGGAAGGCAATTCAGATGGATTCAAAACGTCTACATAATTCGGGGGGACATGGGCTTTGGACGTCTTCAAAGTCTAAATTTTCCAATCACTGACAAACATTTGAAACAAACCACACCCAGGTAATTTAAAGGTGGGTATTACCAACTTCAACATGTTGCTATTGGCAAGGCGAGGGAGGCATGTTGATGCAGGTGGTGAGATGGGTATTTGTGTCCTACAGGTAAGTTCTTAAACAAGCCTATGACTCACCTCACTCACTCGCCTAGACCCTAATTCCCGGAATCAGGACTTTCCTGCACTGCTACTTTCTCGACCACAACACTAACTTCTCAAAAAATAATTCTCCATGGCCCACATTAAAACACATTCATTTTGTTACCACTCGCAGGCTCGTCACATTTCCTGACAACTTTTCATCGCAATTCTCATTGAACTGTTCAACCACAATTCCCAATTTTATGTTGCACCATATTTTGCATATTTTTCTTAATTTCTCTTTCTCACCACATGAATTTCTCAGGTTTTCAATATGCATACAAGGCATAATGTTACACAATACGTGTTCACTTATAAAAGTGTAATGAGTGCAATACAGTGTGAGGCAAGTCTTTTACAAGTCTGTAGAACAAGCTTTGACTAAACTCCTATATTCTTCTTCTATTATCATTATTATTGTTGTTGTCATATGGAAGCGTTACAACTGACTCACGGAGGTCATACAGCACAATGCGTGATGGAAGCTGCATGCTCCGTCCTTTACATGCATGAGAGAGGCTCAACCTAACTGTACTCAGCTCGCTGCCAACAGCTACAGCAAGGAGAAATTTGGCCAGCCAAGAATCATCTTAAAGACGTACCAGACGACCCTAAACATAACCTGAGTCTCTAGTAATGTGTTTTGCAGAGTTACAAAATCCATCAGCGACCAAGTTACACCAAAATGCAGTGTTGACAAGATCCCTTGCCTAGACGGTGGACATGTTTATATAGGCGATATTTGCGTAAAGCTGGCACAAAAATTAAGGCAACTGGTAAAGCCAACTTCAGTAATATTTTTACTTTTAGGATTATGACTATGCAGCAAAGATCCAAATGATGCTCAGTAGTAGTCAGCGCAACAACACTAAAAAGAAAATCCAACACTACACAACGCAGATTTTTTCCACGCTGGAAATGTGGAATCTATACAAATTATCGAAGTTTCTCTCAGGCAGGGGCTTTGTAAAGTTAATCAAGCTAACTTTATAAAGAATTCTGCGTGATAAACGTAATTAAATTACAAAAATTTCTATATAATTGTGTCGTATAAGCCCATCATGTACATTCCTTCACGCTGTACCACCTCTGATCATACATGAACTGTGAAGGAGTGCCATTTCTAGATACATACACCGAGAATTGTAAATCTCCTGGTATATATAAGAAACTTTCTGTGTATATACACCGAGAAGTTAGAATTTTCCGGGAAGAAACGAACTCAAATCACGCAACAGATGGTAAGACTAATGTGAGAGACTTAGGAGTGATTATGTTGGAGGACCTTAGCTTCAAAGGTCACAAGTGTCGCTATCACAATTGCAAGGAAAATGACAGGCTGGGTAACCAGAACCTTCAAAACAAGAGATGCCAAACCAATGTTGGCACTCAGAATGGAGTACTTCTGTACTTTTAAAACAGCTCCATCCAAGGCAGGCGAAATTACAGACCTCGAGAATGTGCAGAGAAACTTCACTGCTTGCACAAATTCAGTCAAGTACCTAAATTATCGAGAACGTTTAAAGCACCTCGATCCGTACACTTTGGAACATGGGTGAGAGGTACATTATAATCTTCACCTGGAAAATTCTAGTATAGTAGTCGCAAATCTGATCATACAAAATACCCCCGATGAAAAGGAGGAGTATCACCAACAGACCCCTGGCTGTCTTCAAGAAAGAACTGGATATGTTTCTCAAGTTAGTGACTCATCAGCCAGGCTGTGATGTTTATGTTGACTTTCGTGCAGCTAACGTCAACAGGCTAAATGCCTGGTTTGGGACAGGGCCGCGAGGGCACTGACCCTCGGGACACACTCCAGGTAGTGTCTCGACGGGCATGAAAAGCTAATCTTGGATGTGATCTACAGACCCTCAAACCTCGACAGTGACCACGGGAAGAAGCTGCTCAGGCATCTAGAAAGGAAAATTTTCTTTTAATGTATTTTAATTTTAGCCAAATTAATTGGAGCAATTTGACAGGTAATCTAGTGTAGTGACTTTCTTTAAATGGTCCAGGACTGCTATTTAAAAGTGTCAGAACCAACTAGAGAAAATAACCTACTGGGCTTAGTTCTGATAAACAAGGATTCTCTGATGAACTATCTTGAGGAGACTGGAGAAAGTGTTCACATATTACATACCTTAATAATGATAATTAAGTTCCCAGATTATATGGGGTTAAAGAATTACTTGAGAAGTGTAGACTGGGGTAACGTGACTAGGAACTATCACGAGGAAGGCCGGATAAAGAGTGGTGATGACTGTCAATATGACATTTTCTAAAGCATTTTACAAGCTGCATATATTCTTAATAAAGAATTTAGATCGAATACGAATGACCCTAAATTGATAAACAATACGCTCAAACATTTCTTCGGTAAAATTAAGGCATTTAGAGGTTAATCAAGAGAGGTGAGGGGTCACCTTATTGAACAAGAGTATATTCATTTTAAGAGGAAAAAAAAAGGAATAATGAAGGCCAAATGAGAATATGAAATGAAGTTTGCGAGGAAATCAGAGACCAATCCTAAGCGCTTTTTTCTGGTATATAAGAATAAGATTAGGGGAAAAAACAGGCCCACTGAAATAAGAAAAATTATCTCCTGGGTCGAGGCATGGTTGACCGACAGGCAGTAGAATTTGCATTAATGACAAAAAATTGGAATTGGGACCTATTACGATTGGTGTGCCACTGGAGTCAGTGTTATAACCCATGTTCACACTACATAAACGACATTAATGAGGGAATAAACAGCGATGTAAGTAAGCTTGCTGATAACACTGAAACAGGCCATCACAATTTCTGATGTCGACTACAATATCAACCTCTACAATAATTTCTGATGTCGACTACAATAATTTCTGATGTCGACTACAATA